CAAGTACCCGCGGAGATCGGTAGACGTATTAAGGAAGTTTTCAAGAAGGGTGCTCCTGCTAGATTTACAATTCAAAGTGGCACACGAAGTTCACGTCAGTCGACTATTCCATCGAAAACGAAGACCGTCCGGGACGCTCAATGGAGTTGGATTTGGAGGAGCTGCGGAGCCAGGTGGAAGCCGTTCCGTATCAAACTACTCGTGAACTGGCAATCACCCGTGGGGAGTCAATCCACAATTATTCGTGGATTAAAGTCAATAGGCAAGGTGGGAAAGCTCGGTCGATGGGTGCCTGCTTTGAAGCAGTATGACATGGATTTTCGCGCCGACGTGGCACTTTTCTCCTCACGCTCAAGCCCAGGAGATAGTCAGGTGTATTCGTTAGTATGTATTTGGAAGAGCTTTTTATATGTACATATCTATCTATCTAACGATGCCTTGTGCGACCATTTTTGCCATCCCTTTCCCGAGTTATGATCTCTAGAACTCATCACTATCACTTTATCCGAGGACTTATGACTCAACCTAATATAATATATTGGGGCTAATAAAACTAGTTATGCATTTATTCAGTTTTATTCATTTTTAGAGATGAAATAGTTGATCATAGAGGTATATCAGGTTCGATTGATCATTTACCTGGTCCTCTAGATCAATCAATCCTAAGCATCGTTGTGCATTCAACCAGTGCAGCTCTTCATCTGTGGAGCATTGAAGGCGGACAATTCTGACTGACTCGCTCACTCTCGCTTTTGCAAAACAGCTGTAGAATATAACTCCTCAAACTGGAACGTTGTACCTACACCTTTTCGTTTGAGAGTAATTCTTGAAATAATTGTTCCAGAACTAAAATATGGAGTTACCCGTTCTACTTCTCACTAATGGTGTACTGCTACCGAATGCCAAATTGAAAGTGCCCATAAAGAGCCGGACGAAGTGAGTATCACAATGTACTGTATTTCTTCGCTTACTTAGTTTTTACTAGTAGCCCACTTGAATGTCGGTTTTTTTTTTGTTTTTTATGGTTTTTTATTCTTTAACTTTTTATCTATTTTTAGTCTAGCAACATTGGATCGTTTCGTAGTGAACAAAGGTGTTCTGGGGAAATCACTGATGTTAGTCGCATATCGAATAGAGAAGGAGAAGGTAACTTGAGGCATCATTAAAACTTGAATGTCTAAGCTATGGCCGAATCTAGGCATAAATTTGCTATAATATGATAATAATATATAATGCTATAATATAATATATAATATAATAATAGGATATTTAATATTTATTGGTTCCGCCATGAGCGAGCCACGCCCCCGACTTTTCTTTAGGATCCCGACGGTGTTTGAATGTGTTCGATTATGACGAGAATGAAGAGTAGTATATTTTGTTTTGTTCCCAATTGTTCTTCTAAAAAATTGGATTGTTTCTGAAAGGCGTGGTTTCTCTTTGCGGTACAAGAACCTCTAACTTTATTCTTTATGATGTAGGCAGGTAGTAGTGGACATTATAAAAAGTACTCATCATTTCATGCGCGCCAATCCAAGCTCTCATTCAGAAAGTCTTCGAGACGGGTACGGTGGCGATGGTTGAGCAGGTAGTATGTTGGAGTTACAATAACTTTGTACAGTACACAATCCACCTGGTGGGAGTGTCTAGGGCTAAAATTGAAAAGTTTGCCATTCCAGTCAGCACCGTTCAACAGCTCTACGCCATCGAGGGTAGGTAGATCTTACATACAGCTGTGATGGATGTGAAAAACAGCTCCGGATGCCAAATCCTCTCCTTTTGCAGGTGACACTCCAGCTGAGCTACAGAAAGAATTTGTGGGTCGTGTCAAGGAATTGGCACTGTCACTTTCATTTGATCGTGTAGAGGAGTCGTTCGTGCTGAAGAAATTCTTGAATGAAGATCGGCTCGAAGACTTGGCGGATTACTGGTGCGCTTCCTCCTTTCCTTGTTCATACTTCATCATTTGCTGCTTACCCATTGAACTACTAGTTTATGGTGGTTTTTACAGTTTTTATGGGAAAATACTGTACTTATACTTTCAGCGTCTCTCTTATGACTGACATTGCTTATACATCTCTCTTGGACTATCTGGCTACTCTTGAAATTCCGAAAAGAGTAAAGCGTGCCAATGATTGGTTGAAGGATCATCTTAAGGTGAGCTTGTCACTGTCTCGGAGCATGGCTGGGTGGCATTCGTTGTTAATGAGCCAGTGTTCGCGCAGCGGTGTCACTTTGATTGCCCTCTAGTTGACAGCAGAAAGTCCATCATAATCAATGCGGCTCTACTATAGCTTTAGCATTTACTCTATTACCGACCGGTTCTTTTGTTCATTAATAATAGCTTTGTCGGTAGTGGTCCAGATATGTATTGATCGGGCGGATTAGGGTCTGCATCCACCAGGTCGTGAACTTTGAACTCAAAACCTATTATACTATACATGGCGTACTTTTTCTTATTGTTTGCTGATAAAGTTAATGCTTTGGATTGTGACTAGCCATCCAGTCAACTCGTCCGCACCGCGACCGCTCGCTCAAGCCTCAAATGATACGGCAGTGGCACGGATAGCATGAGATTAATCGGAGGATTATTCAAATTTTCTTTTTAGCTGTATACAAAAGTATGGTATGGATTAACGGACCAATAGAATGGTTTCAGGCTGCTCCAAGTACGAAGTCCCGCGATATTCGAATAGAACAACCACTTCTTCCACGGATTCGATCCGCCCAAACACAGAGATCATCAAAGAATGGAGTTGATGAATTAGAAATGAAGTTGCAGAATGCAGGTTTACCCGATAATGTCAAGGTAGTTTTGAGGATACGAATTTGGCTAACTTTTCTGAACTCTCTACCATTTTAGGAACGGGTATGGGCAGATTTTGATCGGCTCAAAAACATGGGACAGAGCAGTTCTGAACTGCACGTGCTCACATCATACTTAGAACTTGTTGCTAGCCTGCCATGGAGCAGAAGCACACCTGAGACTATCGATATCAAAAAGGTGAGCTATCATACTGCTTGGTAAGATGTAACACCGGAATCCAGGATTCGGAATCCTTTAACTGTTCTTCGGAAATGGAAGCGTGAGTCTTTTTCCGTCATTTCGGATCCCGGTTAAGACAATGGCCAAGGGACCCCCTCGTATAAAGACAGTGCAAGTGGTAGTTGTCCCAATTCGGGTTGAACTTACATTGTAATCCCGAAACAGACCTAAATATCCTACTATATATAATTTGCTAAGTGTGTCTGTTGGTTTGTCGGTGTGTGTCTTACCGGAAATTCATAACTCCTGTCCCCGTGGACCTAAAGCGTTCAAACTTTGTAGGAGTACAAAAAGCAGATTTGGAACACTTACAGTGGGTGGCAGGATCGGATTCCGTTCACAGAAGGCGAGGCGTACGCGATAGAAATTTTGGGCCGCAAACTCATAACTCCTATTTACGTGGACCTAGAGCGTTCAAATTTTCGTATTAACAGCGGAACTTTTGCATTTCAATAAGTGATGTAGGATATGACGGGATCGTAGGGACTCGGTGACAGAAACTGATGATAACTG